TGCTAATTCTCCAATTGAAGCTGGGATCCCTTTGTCAGAGGAATCCAATTTACACGAATTGGTCAACTGAAGGAAACAAGCTGAATCCAAGCCCAGTAAAAACCAATTAAACAACTTGTTATTAGACTCAGGATAATAACAATAAAGAGTAAGTCAGGCCAACCCAGCCTTGTCTTAAACTGCACAAGATGATTAATTAATATACAGTTTAAAATATAAACTGGGATCCCTTTGTCAGAGGAATCCAATTTACACGAATTGGTCAACTGAAGGAAACAAGCTGAATCCAAGCCCAGTAAAAACCAATTAAACAACTTGTTATTAGACTCAGGATAATAACAATAAAGAGTAAGTCAGGCCAACCCAGCCTTGTCTTAAACTGCACAAGATGATTAATTAATATACAGTTTAAAATATAAACACAAAATAAATTGCCTGAAAGCAGCAACATTTCCATTATGGCAGTGAGGACGCGGTCACTCCTTTCAGACTGCGTGCATATAAATAAACATGCACTAACAAATTATCTCCTGGTTCAGAGCAGACAGAGAAGGCAGTAAGTGTAACAGAGTTTGTTGTTCCCCTTGGGGCAGAGCAAGAACCTGTAGGAGGAAAGAGATCCAAATCTATGTGTACAGCTAGTTAAGTAAGGGATGGCAAGAAAGCAAGGAGAGGAAAGGGCTCTTAAAGGAAACTGGGGAAAGGCAATGTGGAGTGCAGCCAGGAGGAAGTGAGAAGACAGATTTACCAACATGACTGAGCTGCTGCTTGGAAACTTGCCTTGTGAAGAGAGTCAAGGGAAGAGGCTTTGAGAATGAGACATGAAGAAACCATGACAACTGAACTTCAAAATGGGAAAGCAGAGCTCTCCTTTGTGTACTACTCACTGAATCAATAATTTTGATCATGGTACCTTCCTCCAGGGTTTTTCAAATGGTCTGGATTAGGGCAACAGAATTTGTTTCCATCTCCATACAAGTTGTAAAATTCAGAAAAGGCCCCAGGAATCCCTATTCCTAATTCTTTGCTCTAGGCCCCATATTTCAGAGAGAAATCATACAGATATATTCCATCCTGTCAAGCTCCCACAACCATAGGTTTGGTTATTGGCTACCTAAGTACCAGATAAAGAATACAGACAGTAAACCTAAGAAGAATTTAGGCCTAGAAAAGAACTGCTGAGATGAAGAGCTAGACAGATGAGGGACAAGAGGAGACAGGACCCTGTCCAAATATGAATGGGGATATAAAATCCCAGTAAAGGGGTGGGGGGGCAGAAGAGAGAGAGTGGAAAGGAGGAACAAAGAAGTTAAACTGAGGCTGATAAGTATCAGGGTGTGGAGATGTCACCGCTGCTACGATAATTTCTAACTGGGTTCTGTAAGACAGTGCTGTAGTGCAGACAACAGGACCACTCCCTGGGCCTACGATTGAGCTTCCCAGCCTTTTTTGCTACAAGCAGAGCAGTAGGATGCTGGTGACTGGAAGAATGTCCTCAAGCAGAAAGATTTGAGAATCAGCTGGGAGATCTAGGATCTCTTGCTTCACACTCGAGAGAAATAGCAGGTTCTGCCCACGTCTGCTGCAAAGTCCAGGTCAAAGTCCTTGCTTGAGTCCCAGCTCTAGAAGCCTACAGTTGTCTCTTCTATGTCAGTGACAGATTTCAGGGGAATTGTCCTCTTCCCTTTCCCAAGGAAAGCCAGTGTCACTGCATCCCTACACCCAGACACATTTGCAAGACAGGCACAGATAGAGTAATTTCCCTCAGCCCCTTTTGCAGTTGCATCCCAGCCTGGTTTGGCCCCCAGTAGCAGTTGCTCCACATCTCCCCTGATTGAACTCAGGCAGTTTTGGCAAGGCTTAAGTAGCAGCGTGCAGTGCACCTTTGCCAGGCTCACAGAGCTGTTTCCTAGCAGGCCAGGAGCCAGCTCTGCAAATGAACTGGCAAGTTTCAGGCACTGCTTGGTTGGTTGCGATGCAGGTTGGAGAGTGAGGCTGTTGGTATGATGAAGCTCTCTTCATATATCACTGAACTTCTCACCTTGGCAAGTTCCCCAAGTAAGCTCCAAGCTGGGGGAAGAGAGTCTTGTCATGGGGAACCACACATTCCCATCCCTTCAAGAGCCCTTGCTCAGTACTACAGCAGGATGACAGCTAGCTGAAGTGCACAGCCACAACTGTGAAAGGAGGTGGTCATCAATACCTTCCTTCAGGGCTGAGCTTCTCCCTGCGCAGTTTAAGATCCACCTCCTCCATGCTCTGTCTGCAACGTGCCAGCTTCTCCTCCAGTCCATCAATCTGGAAAACACCACACCAGTCACCGTCATTTCCTCTCCCAGCTAACATGGATCCATCCCCACTCAGATGGGAAGGGTGGCCACTCCACCTCCTTCCTCCCCAAATCAAGGGAGGAACAGCCCCAGCTGTGTGTAGAGATCACAGCACAGAGAGCCCATCGCCTCCCAGATCAGCCTGTACTATTCCCCAGGCAACTGCGACATTGTAATCCCAGACACAGCCAAGCCAGCTCTAACACTCCCACTTGTGTGGCTGGCCAGCATCTTTTTGCTAAGATCTGATCCTGTTCCAGCCTGTTCTAGTTTCTTTGCATGTGGCTCCAAAGCAAAGATGTGATCTAAGGCATCTTTATGCAATTAAAAGAGGATAAAATGAGAGAGACTGGCCTTGGCCAAAGCCTGAGGGATAAAGTCTTGATTTAGTGCTGTGAACAGATGCAGAAGTTCATGGGACGTGACTATAAAGCGCCCCTAGCTGTCTGGTTGGGTGAAGAGGGGACAAAGGGGAAACACTGATACCTATCGTCTCTTTTACCCAACTAAATCTACAACAGCAGTCTGCACAGTATACTCAAGAGAGCATTCACCACCCCTCCACACCTTCGACCTGCACCAAGTTTTGGCAGCAACATGTTCCCATGCAAAAAGACACTGGTCATCTCCTTGTGTCTCCTCGTCAGGTTTCCTAACAGCCACCCTCACCTGTGTCTTCCTGTGGAGGGGAGTAACTGGGGATAAGTACAAGAGGGTTGATCCACTTGTGTGCAAATGGATTGCCCAGGAGGGGATCCTACCATGGACAACAGTTCTCCTGGGAATCATTCCTCTTTTCTGCCTGGCAACCAGAGCGTAGACATCTTTAGGAAAACTTTGTCTTTCAGGCTTGCTTCCAGCAGGGAAACGGTGGGACTAATCAGATAATACGAACACAATATCATAGCCTGAAAGAAAATGGCCTCGGTGCCCTGAGGTGGCAATGACCTCTTTTTTTAGCTACTTAGCGCAACACTCCTGCTGTGTCTGGTTCTCCAAGCAAGGCCAAGGCCAGCTAGATGGCTGGCAGCATGGCCTCTCTGTGGTGGGAGCCTTCACAAACCAGAAGCTAAGAGGCAGCACGGTCCCGAGTAAAGTACTGAGGTGGAATGAGACACCAGCTGCCTGGACATCAGCCTCAGAGGTGGCCCAGAGCACAAACACTCCCATAAACAGTGATATGGGAACAAAATCAAAGGTAGTGATCCCTAATTATTGCTGCTTTGGGGATCAACTCTGTCCTGAGCTCATTAGCAATCTCACACCTTCTGCTCAGGAAAGGCAGGCAAGCGTTATAAATAAGCAGAATGGAAGAAGAGGCTTGACGTAAAGGGGAGAACAAAGCAGACTGTGAAAAGGAGTTTAACCAGTCAGGTGAATAGTCTCACTCCAAGGAGCACAGTAGAGCTGGGGAGGGGGCCACATATAACAAGGCTCAAATAAATCTTTACATCTTACCAGATAGCAATTTCAAACTCCTTTGTTATTAGGCAATTCTGCCAGGGCTGTTGAGATGCCAAGCTCCCCAGAGGCACGTGCACAGCTTCCGTGAGCCCAAGGGGAGCACCAAGGCACATCACCTGATCCCAGAGCACAGGGAATGGTGCTTCTGTGTTTGGCAATGCTTGGGTTTGCCTAGATGAGGACACAGGTATTTTTGAAGCATGTTAGCTGAAGATGCATTCAGTCAAGGCAAAGATAATTGTCCTCCTCCATATCCAGCTGTGCCAGTTAAGAATGTTAACTCCAACTGCTCATCACTATCTGTCACCCACTACAGCTCAATCAGCAAGATGCATTGCCCCAGTTTGCTTCAGGGCCAACAAAGGGCTTCACCCAAGTCAGCTCTGACCACGCTTATCAGCAAATTAATTTAATGGCAGAGTGCAGTAGAATGGAGGTAGGGTATCTGTCCAGGCCAATTTAAGAATGACCATCTCCCTCACAAGTTCCTACCATTTGCAAATGACTGTCTCTGTTCCCTTATCTGTTGGAAACCCTCACATACAAGAGGTAATTCAGCATGTGTTACCTGGCTCCTCCTTAGCCAGTAAACTTACTACAATGCATCATGCCTTCTCTGGAAACATGTTTTTAAATAATACAATTTAATGAGAGCTTTGGTTAGTTGCCAACCCCACCACTAAATTATCTATGTCATTGCACTTCCTATCCTCTCCTCCAGAACTGCTCCTCCTGCTCAGTTTGCAGTTGCTCTCACTAGTACATTCTCTGCCCATACTTACACTGTTTCATGAGACATAACAAGAGGATATTCTGCCCAACTCTGCCAATGCTTTTACTTTCTGCTGACTAACAGTCTCCAGATTCCACATAATACTTTAAAAGTTTCAACTGGTTTTACTGCTCTTAAATCAAAACCAAAGTTTGGGTCCCCTGCTGGAGAGCAATAATTTGCTAATAAACCACATGCCCTAGAACTGCACCATCAGCTTTGCTGAGCTGGGGGCACAAGGGACAGAAAATAATCAAAACAAAGCAAGGAAGGAGGAACAGATTGCTGAATTAACAAAATATTTTTCCTCCAGAATCTCACTATTTCTTTTCTTCAGGCTAGTCTGGGGCATTAGGGGTTGTAAGGAAGGACAAGAGTGAGGATTCCCAGATGTTATCCATTCACTGTGTCTCAGTTTCCCTACTTACGAATTAGGACAATACTATCTGCCTCCTGGAGGTGACTCTTTTACACAAGAAGCCTCAGACACGGACCCAAACTATGGGCAGAGCACTATCTTGTCAGTGCCATTGCCTCACTTGGGATTTGGCATCTGTTCCTGCAAGCTAGGAGTCTCTCAGCAGCTCAGCCATCCAAGTAACTCTTCACTGTAGGGCAAAGGAAAGAGAAAAATAGAAAATAAGCGCAGGGAGAAATCAGAGTAATGACTGGGAATTACTGATTACTCTCTGGGCTGCTGAAGCCCCAGGGGGGCCACAGCCTGTAAAGCTGTAGCACAAGAAAACCTGTAGAGCTTTGGCATTATTCCCTGCAGCAGCTCTCCAGGAGAGCAATCCTAGAAGCAGGTGCACACCTGAGCTTGTTGTGGATGGAAAGCTTTCCCTCCTACTAACTAATACACGAGAAGGTTAGTTGGGGTACGTACCTAGGCCTACTGGAAGCCCGCAGGAAAACAGTGAGCCATGCTCACGTAGCTGAACCATCACTGCACTTCACACCGGCTTATCTTTTTAGTGGCAATCTCAGCACAGTAGCTTATAAATTGCAAAAATGAACCCTTGCTCCTTCTGGCTCTTCTTTCCATGAAGAGGATCCTCTGGGACAGAGCTGAAGTGCAGCAGGCAGAAAGCTCACATGGCAACTCCTCAGGTTCACATGGCCTCTAGCAGGGACACAGGACTTCACTCACAGCAACATCTTTAAGTAGTGTCAGTTAAAAGGGACAAGTGAGACAGGGGCTTCACATCCAGGCAGCAGCTTAGGGCACACAGAGCTGCCCTTCTGCTCCTCAAGAGCCACTCCAGAAAGTCAAGTCCCAGCAGCTTTGGACGCAGACAGGGATCTCAGACCAGATGCCTCCCTTGCTCCACAAAGTATGACAAGGCATTGAGCCATTTTTGTTGAACTCTGGCAACACTCGCTCACAATATGGAGACCTTTTTAAACCAGAGAGACCTGGAGCAGATTTCAATGCAAACTGACTTACATGCTTATTACAAATCTCATTTGTTGGGACCATCTTGGGCAGGGAGCCCGAAATGGCTCACATAAAGGCAGAAACAAAGAGAGAAGAGAAAAAGAAGCAACTTTGCTTACAAAGTTGAGCTGGATCCCTTTTAAGACATTTTGTAATGAATTAATAAAAGCTTTCTTTCCAGCAGAAAGGCTAAAAGCGCTTTTCAAGAACTGGCATCCACCCTCCGCTTTTATGAATTCCCTAATTAAGATACTGGCAAAGAGCCATATCACACATACATCGACATCCAACAGTGTTAGGTAATGAAGTTTTCGTCTTCTGACCCTCATAAAACAGATCAAAGCCAACTGAAGAGGTGGGGGCAAATAAAAAAAAACCTTTCCCGAGCAGTCTTCTTATGCCTTGTCACCTGCCAGCACACTTGAGCCGTTATTTTCACAGAAGAATTAGTGGTTCCTCCATCCACAAATTTGGCTGGATTATTAAAATCAGTCCAGTAGAGACGAGTTTTCTTTAAGTTCAAATTCTAACTTGCAGTTCATGGACACACTTCCATTTTCACCATGCTCCTGGAATCATTTTGCATGCCGGCAAATCATTTCACAGATGCTGTGCCCACAACATGCTTGGAAATATTTACCAGGCAAGGTACTACACAATAGAGGATAATCCACCAGCAAAGTCTAAGATAAATCCTGCAGATCAACCCTCTCTGTTGGTAAAGAAGAAAGGGCTGGATCCTACCTGAATCTCTTCCTTCAGCCTTGCAGAAACTACCCAGTTAGTCAGCCCACCCTGCCTCAGCTCAGAGCAGTGGCTTTTCAGGATAGCAAAAGATTTGACCACACAGCACCACCCACAGCTTTTTGAAAAATCCTGTAAGAACAACTTTACTGAGTAAACACTACGTTGGCCCTTTCCCTATTCTTTATGCTCTTGTATAGACACTGGTCAGCCACTGCCTTGTCAGAAGCAGCAATACACATAACAATACTTTCTCCAAACACACACTCGACATTTTGCAGCTGAGTGCAGGGTGTTCTCTTTGCATTTAACAGCCCCACTTTTTGCTTCCACAAATTTTTTTCAGTTGTTGTCTGATCCAAAAGTGTATTTTTAAGGGCTACAACATTCTCTGGCAAGGAGTTTCACAGCACAGCCAAAGGTTATGGGAAGAACCAACCCCTCCTGTTTGTTCTGAGCTTGTCAGCTGCTAGTTTCATTTGATAGCCCTAATTTTGCATTGACAGTGAATGTTGATTCTTTGTTTAAAGTTATAAACAGCATGCAGAGGATATAGACTTATATTGGGTCCCCTTGCAGTCATGTTTTCAAGCTTAAAAGGACCTGGTATGCTTAGTTGTTTCTTGCATAGAAGTTTTCCACACCATTGATCATCCTTGTCACTCTCTTAAGCTCATTCCATTTTCACTATTTTGCTACAAAACAGACCAGTCTTCCCAGTTTCATTTTCCTGACGCGTCTCCTCAGGAAAGTTCTGTGCAGCTCAGCATTGTCAATAGGGCTGCTATAAGAAAGGAGAAGTGGTATGAGTTTAAACCACCACAACATAACGGAGACACATTTATATCAGTTTAAACCAGGTCACAGCAATTACACCTGCAATTTGTAAGTGCAAGCTAATCTGGTAAGTGTCCATATAGAAAATGGCATTCATTTAGCATCATGACTTCAGTTAAACAAGCATGACTCTGCCTAGATTAGGCCCTTCAAAGCTAGCTATGCATCATGTCATACTAAGACTCATTTGGAAAGTTTTCTTTACAATCGTAACAGCTCAGAAGGTAATACTGAGCCAAATAAAAGTTTAAATTATGAAATCAGTATCTTGCTTGTCATGCATTCTGATACCTGAAACACAGCCCCCTCTTCCTCTGGCTTAAAGGGACTTTGTTTTCTTCCTCCCTAACTTCTATTCAGTGTACCTTTCTCATCACTGCAAGGGGGAAGGATTTTATCGTTTAGTCGTATCTTTGTACTGAGAGGTTAAGTTTTCATCTATAACACACCAAAGAAGAGTGGTTCTACAATCCTTTCAAAAGTAGTGTGTTCTACCACGACAACTTCTAAAAAAAAAAAAAAAAATCTAAAGCTACCACAAGTCCCCAAACACTTTGCAAGAATTTTCTGTGCCAGCTAAAAACAGTCCGCTTCATTCTGTGACCAGCAGGTCCCTGACAAGCTCAGCCTTTTTACCACCTCTGTTTGTAAGATAGACCTTACCATCTCAACCCTCCTTGTCTGTCACATCTCAAACAACAACCACCAAAAACACAGTATTTCAACTCTCCCCGCCAGGCTCACTGAAGAGAAGCTTGGACAGTCAGCACACTCCCCTCTAGACTCCCTTTGGTGGTTATATTGGGGTTAGAGTGCCCAGAAACATCTGTTTCTCTAATGAAAGCCTAACTACATGAAATAGACCAGAAAACGACTACAAACTGAACTCCCATTCATATGGCACAGTAGGACACTTGCCTTTACATTACTGGCTGATGAAGCATACATGACAAGCCCCAAGTCCTTTTCCTTGCCTTTCTACCCTGGCTATCTTGGTCTGTTGTGCATATGCTCATACGAAAGACTTCAGGACAGAGAGGTGACCAGTTAGATTCACTGGATCAATTCTGGCCTATTTCAGCCATTTGTCAGGAAGGTTCAGGCTTTTGCTGTCCCCAAAGTATCCACACCCCACAGACTTGAACTATGGGCTCTCCACTGCCTCCTCCAAGTCAGTCCAGATAGCACTGTTCAGTGCAGGAGTCAGAATGAAATATGCCTCTGAGAGACGTTAACTAACATGCCTCAGTTTGTTAATACAAATACAAAGCTTAAACAAAGCTTACCTGCAGCCCTCCTGCCACTCAGGAGATTACAAAACACCCATGCACAACAATAAAAGGCAGCTTTAGAAGGAAGGCATACTCTTAAAACCCAGTCTTTTCCCCTTCTGCTTGCTGTGATTTACAGGCACTTCACATGCTGGTTTATCACTGGGTTCCTCAAAAGCAGCAGCCTGTGCCCAGCACACTGCTGACTTTCACCACCGCACACACACGCCGGGCTGCGTACAGATTTGCTAGCTAGGGGCAAGCACTTGCCGCAGCACCCTCCGTGGGCGCAAGCACTTACTGCCTCTCCCTGCACTGGCTCAAAGGCTCAGTGGGAGCAAGGGCACCAAATGCCATCGCTCAGTCCAAGGCCTGGGACAGAGGATGGGGCACCGAGCTTTCTGCTCGCGGAAGGGCCCGGCACAGGCGGGTCGCCTCGGCCTCCTCTGCTGCCATCGCACATTAAGATGGCGGCCGGGCCCCCAGCACAGCGCAGCCTGGCCGGAGCGGCGTCTCTGAGGCCCCACTGCCCCGGGCCTCCCCGACACC